CAAACCTAAACGTGGACAAAATGTTTTTACCTTTATTGCATCTTGACTTGCTTTCATTTCATCTTGACTTGCTTTCATTTCATCTTGACTTGCTTTAATATCTCTGCAGTCGTGGCATTTGGGGATTCTAAACTGGCAGAGTTCTTTCTCGTGGATTTCTTTATCTCTTTTATTGACCACCGTCCCACATCCTTCATTTCCACACATAACAGGCGCAAAGCCACATCGCTCAACATGATGCTGTAAATTTCCAAGCTGGACGTATCCCGGGCAGCCCCTCTCATTGTAATCACACTTGATTTTCAGCTCTGATAAGGTATTCTTCAAAAATCTTGGTGGATCTTTGAGGGTTTCTGGGGTCAGGTGTTCTCTGCATTCAGGACATGTGTGGGAATTACGAAGATGTTGAGATATACAAGAAAGACAAAATGGATGTTCTTTATTCTGGCAAGTTCGTGGATTTCTGAGCACCCCTTGACAAATAGAGCAAACTAAATCTTCTCTGACTCGACCTTCAAAACGTCTGTCATCATAACCTTGCTGGTAGCTGTGTGCCATTGTTCAACGCCCAGCTGAAAAACGAAACAACTGTTGTTAATTAAATAATGGATGTGGAATGCAGCTTTGATTCCTGCATGCACTAGACTATCTAGACACATTTCTGATTATTTCATTTTACCTCAAGCGCAATTCATTGTTTTATACAGCAGTAAATCTGAATGTTAAATCCATGGATAAGCCAGTCACATAGTGTTCATTCTACCTACACTGGTCTGGAACTCTATGCGCAATATGGCTAAAACGCATCGGAATTAATCGCATTCACATTTTGTAACTTTATTTGTTTGTTTTTTTATTTAAACTAGACCGTTGACAGTTTTCAAAATAGAAGAAAGCTTCGGATTGATAGGGATAAGTTTCGAGCGAAGGCCATAGAGCCCACATATAGCGTGTAGATTTACAGAGGAATAAGTGGCCGATTATAATTTTGTGTTTTTTAGACATAAATCATAATACAAACTTGTACGGTTATACGGTTCTTTTGATTTTTCAAAGTCATCTAGAGATCATCTTACCATTTGCGCAGATGAAAATCCAGATACTGAAGAGCTTTGTGACTTTAATAATCGTGCTGCCTTCAGCTGAAATAATCTCGCTGTTCTGCCTACTGAGGCGCGTCAAGTATGCTGAGCTACTAACAGCTGAGATCTTGCTCTTTATAAACACACAAAAGTTGAAAATATCCTCTAGATCCATCGCCCAAAATGTGGTTTGAGCTACAACCATACAGCCTCCCCTGTCGAGCTATCAAGTCTACAGAGATTGCTGGTGAATTCTTGTGTTCTATCTGTTTCAGTTTCACTATCGTGTCCACAGGTTTAGTAGTACCGCGGTTTAAATACGCAAGATTGAAATTCTCAAACATTGAAAATCTAGTCGACTGCTCTACCTAAGAAGCCTGGTCCTCACTACCACGCAAGCATAAGAGGGAAGATGAAACGCTTTGATTTTTTATGTACTGTCCTCACTACCACGCAACATAATCATTGCCGCTTATCAGCTTGCGTTGTAGTGAGAACAACTGAACAAGGCTTGAGCTTGATAATCTACAGCTCTACCTGTTGAGCTGATTTGTGAGCGAGTTAAAAGCGAAATTAGACTTACCAATGTCGAGGGATGGTAACAGATTATGAAGATTCTGTAACAAATTCATGTAAACTGCGTCGACTGTATTTGTGTTTGAGACAACACGTTAATTTGTCTATTGTGTTCAAAACATCCCGTGGTTTAAACGTCAGCCTCTCAACATCCTTATAAAGAGATCGCCCACGCTGAGAGAATTTGATATGCATTTGTTTGGAATTCTAAGTATCATTTAGTTTCATGTCTTTTTTTTAATTAAAGGGTAATGGCAATAAAATTTTTTATTGCTTTATCTGAAAGAGCATGAAAAAATAAGCCGATTGGCCGTTTACTGCTCTATTCTGTCTCATCTGGTTCCGAAGTTATACGCAAAAATGTGCAAAATATAAATTGCTGATTCAGCACAACGTGTGACGTCATTGGTAGGGTAAGTATGTTTAATGAATAGTAAACTGAATAATAGCTCAGTTATTATTGGCTCAAATCAAATGACATTTTGCATACAGATAGTACATGATGAGACGCATGGGAAAATACTTCTAATTTTGTTGGCAAGGCAACGCAGTTGTTCCCAGGCCCCTTACACTGATTTTGAATAACTAGTTGCATTTATCTATGTGTATGTCATTTTCGAATTATTATCATGCAAGTAAACTTTTGGCATGCATAGGTATGGTACACATACTTCTGACATTATTTTATTCTTATAAGTACCAGGAATAAAGCTTTTTTATAAAATTGGCGCAAGGGGCCTGGGAACGACATTGTTACCTTGGCAACAAAATTAGAAGTGTTTTTCAATGCGTCTCATCATGTACAATCAGTATCCAAAACTTCATTTGATTTGGGCCCATAATAACTGAGCTATGCTTCAGTTTAGTATTCATTAAACATACTTACCCTACCAATGACGTCACACGTTGTGCTGAATCAGCAATTTATATTTTGCACATTTTTGCGTATAACTTCGGAACCAGATGAGACAGAATACAGCAGTAAACGGCCAATCAGCTTATTTTTTCATGCTCTTTCAGATAAAACAATAAAAATTTTTATTGCCATTACCCTTTAATATTTATTTTCAGGAAGCTTTCTCTCACAAAGTGATTTTCAGAAAGGTCCTGAACTAAATAAAGATAAGATTGCTAACAAAGTTTCTCTTAAGGTAATTCCGCAGTTTTGCATTGCGCACTTTTACTGCGCAGATCTTATAACTTATAATTTCATCCATTATACGCACCGTTTAAAAAATATCATTTTATGACAATTTTATGTTACTAGTTCAAAACATCTTTGGTTAGATTCGTGCGAAGAATTACGTTAAACTCAATGTTTTCAAAAAAGGCATACAAAAGTGTAGCTAGGGTTCCTATGTCTGTAGTATATTTATTTACTTGTATTTCATGTTTTAATGCTACAATTCCTTAAAAAGATCGGTGACCCCCGTTTTTTAACTGATAATTTATTTCTTTAATGCATTTTACATTTCATATCCGAAATTACAAGAAAAATAATTCAGTCTGGATCTTGAAAAAAAAATGCTTTATCAATGCATGTTCTCAAAGAAAGATATGTAAAGAAATGTGCAAAAGACATTTGTGGATCAGAATTGTACACGCTAGTAGTTTCATTTTGCTCAAAACACAATATTTTTTAAAAATAATTACCAGATAGGTTTACTAAAGCAAAATCCGCGCTAAAAACGTCAATAAATATCGGGCTGTTGTGAGTTTGCTGTTACTCGTAATGAGCGTCAAGATGGCGCCATATTGGGGTATAGGTGGTATATTGTGATTGTCATATCTTCTTAACGAGTTCGGTGACCCCGACGTTTTGTGTGATTTTACTTTAAGTATATCGTAAACTCCATGCCTGGGAAGTTTCAGCACATTCTCATTTCGGGAACAATTACTGCGGAATTACCTTAAATGTAGAAATACCACTAGAGAGTTTATCTTTCTGTCCAAGTTGTTCCAGTCTGTAAATGTTGTTTCAGTCTGTCAATGTCTCTCATGTAAAAGATAGGTAAGAAAATTCAGAAATTGAGCAGATTTATATACCCAGTTCTAATTTTGAGATCAGTGAGGAACAGAAAATTATCCATTGATGCTATTGCTTTGAGATCAGTGTTAGTACCCAGGGAGTTTCCTTCGCTCGGTTGTAATGTTGTCAATATAATAATAATGTTTTTTATAAAATGATTTGATAATTTTTGTTTATTTTTCCATTAAAACTTTCTTAAAAATGAATTCTCCTTTGCTATTGAATAAGAAGGATCAAGCCAAGGAACAATTTGATGGAAAATGGCCGGGAATGAAACCAATAGTTATCAAAATATTGAAACAAAAAGGGGTAACAAAAGCGGAATGGCAAGATCTATTTTGGTGAGTTCATTAATATTGTTCATTTAATAATGAACCGTTAATAAATTATCACACATGATTAAACGATTAAATAATGTTGCTCCATTTAATTATGTTTAATTATGTAGTTTGTTAAGGGTAATATTTTATAACTAAAAGGTCTGAACGATTATTGAACTAGAAATATAATTACAAATATTTCAATTCTATTCAATAGTTTTAAGACAATGTCACATGTGGCAATCTTAGGGAGCATTCATTTTTTAGCTGGGGGGGTGGGCCGGAGGAACTGAAGTCTAATTCCATGCTAAAACTTGGAACCCCCGAGAGAAAAGTTGATAAAAAATTATGACCCCCATTTTTTTTACTCAAACATTTTTTGACCCTTCATCCTAACTATTATTAATCCACACAGTGTCATTTCCGTAGTGTTTCAGGGCTGTAGGAAGCTCTTTATGATTGGGGGCTGAAAGCGAGGGCCGAAGGCCCGAGGAAATTTTTAAATCTAGAGTCTCTGAAATGCCATTTCCTGGACTTTGGGAAAGATTTTGACAGAATTCTGACGGTCAGAAAATAGCGTTTTAGTATGTCGAAATTTACAATTTGGTAGTACTAAATGGGCGAAGGCATATTGGATAACTAGGATAAGTTGCAGGAAACTGTGGGTAATATCTTCATTCTTTGCAGTTTGTCATGGATAATGTGCTGCTTAAAATTAATAAAGCTTAAAAGTGATAAAGGTCTGCATTATTTGGAAAAAAAGAATGATTATTAGCAAAT